TAAGAACACTGGTGGCTTGATAAGGTATATACATGATTGCTACATACCATTTTTCATTGGTAAAAACAAAAATCTGGACAAACTGTACCTTGGTTTCTCTTGATGTCTTGAAAGCATGACAGGAACACAGTGATATGCTTCAGGGATATCTGCCATGATTTGAATCATCCTTGGATTAGACTGTCCTTGAGACAAAGCCTCTTACCAGTACTTGCTAATGGCAGAATCTTAATTTGTGAATTTACGTAATTACTTTTTCAGCTTGTCTAAGCTTTGATATTCACAGTATGCTGCAGCAGTTAGTTCTCAAGTTTAATGACATCTCATGGGAAAATTACAACCTAACAATATGTATGTAAACTAGCTCTAGTTTTGCTTGTATCAGCTTTTGTTATCTGCTACTTAATCTTGTTCTAAATGTTATTCTGCTACAATTCTGAGAACTCAGTTTCAGATTTATAGTCAAGAACTATCATCAAACTTCCTCATCTCACTAAGCACCCTTTTTGCTAACATGTAGAACATGAATCTTACCCCTGACCCCTCCTTGCTCTGTGAAAGCTGAATATTAACCATGTGTGTTTGTTTCTTGTTAAAGCAACTGTCGGCTTATAATGCGTCTATCACTTTTTCTCTAGTTTTTTCAGAATCACAGGTATGGGACCCTGTTAGAAAGCCAAAGTACATGATTTCACTCCACATGTGTATCGGTTCCTTCAAGTAACTCCTAATGACTTCTGTGGAGGCACTACCCCTATGCTGACTCTTCCTCATTGTATCACTTTACTCGTTTGCTGTTTTCTTTACTGACCTATCACCTGAAAGATTTTTTTCCAGATACTTTCCAAACTTTAACTAATAATGAGCATAGCAAGCTCTGATCTGGTGGATAAGCTTTCCTGTATCTGCCTTTCATGTGTCTCAGACGGATGTGCTGCCCAGATGTCTCACCTGGTTTATTCTTCCTTGCATTCCTGAGCTGGTCTGGTACCAAGGAGGAGAACTTTTCTAAAAATTTTTATCTTGCAAATGCATATACAAAATACCTCTGGATTCAAAGGAAAGTCAAATAATCCATTTGGTTTGCTTTCATATATATTAAAACCATGAACTTAGAAAAGGACATTGGCGTGCACGAAGGTGGCTTTTCCTAATGTATGCTGTAACTGTGCACATAGGATGTGGTAGAAAAATTACTAGCCTCATTCCCTATGCCTGGCATCTATTTCATCAAGTGGCAAACCATAACATATCCTGCAGCAAAAATTTGCACAGAGATGACTGCTCCACAACATCCAACAGGAAGCCTCTCCTTCCCTATGAAGCCATAGCTGTTCCCCTTTATTCCCCCCTTTTCTGAGACCTTTGTAGTATTCCTCTGTATGTAGTAAGGTACAGTGCCCTAAAGTAGCCCACAGATTACTTGAAGTAACATTTATGCCTCCTGTTGAATGAACAATGAGCATGTAATACTTTACTAGGTCTGATGTACTCCAGTAAATGCCATTCTTTCTATAATACGAGTTAGGAGAAAGCTTGCTCCCCTTTCAATGCACACACATTGTTACTGCCAGAAAACAGCCAAGCAATGTAAAACTTTTCCAAAGGTGTAGAAGTCTGACGGTTTATAGGAAGACATTCAGAATATTAGTTCCTATATCTGCACAGTCAGTAACAGGCTTGGCAGAAGTTAAAAATCACCTGAACTATTTTCAGCCATAGTATCTTACTTCCTCACAATGGCATCTGATGGTGCTATAGACACCTGAAGTTCCATCTGTTTAACCTGACATAACAAGTATAGCTCAGGAAGCTAGTTTCCCCAAGTTAACAGATCTGACAAATGCTTTTGTTTACTTCTCCAAAAGCAAGCTGTGTCAAATTCCATATTTTCTACTCTATACACATGTGCCTGGCAAAATCTGGGAGCAGATTCTCCTGGAAGGCATGCTAAGGCACATGAAAAACAAGGCGGTTGGTGACAGCCAGCATAGCTTCACGAAGGGGAAATCCTGCCTGACCTATTTGGTGGCCTTCTATGATAGGACTATGGAACTGATGGACAGAGGTAGAGCAGTTGATGTCATCTACCTGCACTTGTGCAAAGCATTCGACACTGTCCCACATGACAACCTTGTCTCTAAATTGGAGAGACATCAATTTGATAAATGGACCACTCGGTGGATAAAGAACTGGCTGGATGGCCACACACAGAGTTGTGGTCAACGGCTCAATGTCCAGCTGGAGACCAGTAATGAGTGGTGTCCCTCAGGGGTCGGTGTTGGAACCAGTCTTGTTCAACATCTTTGCCCGTGACATCGACAGTGGGATTGAGTACACCCTCAGCAAGTCTGCCGATGACACCAAGCTGTGTGGTTCAGTTGATACACTGGAGGGAAGGAATGCCATCCAGAGGGACCTTGACACACTTGTGAGGTGGGCTGATGCCAACCTCATGAAGTTTAACCATGCCAAGCGCAAGGTCCTACACCTGGGTCGGAGCAATCCCAGACACAGCTACAGGCTAGGCAGAGAAGAGATTCAGAGCAGCCCTGCGGAAAAGGACTTCGGGGTGTCGGTTGATGAGAAAATGAACATGAGCCAGCAGTGTGCACTCACAGCCCAGAAAGCCAACCATATCCTGGGCTGTATTCAAAAGAAGCATGACCAGCAGGTCAAAGGAGGTGATCCTGCCCCTTTATTCTGCTCTCATGAGGCCTCACTTGAGAGTATTGTGTGCAGTTCTGGTGTCCTCAACATGAAAAGGACATGGAACTGTTGGAACAAGTCCAGAGGAGGGCCACGAGGATGATCAGGGGACTGGAGCACCTCCCACATGAAGATAGGCTGAGAAAGTTGGGACTGTTGAGCCTGGAGAAGAGAAGGCTGCATGGAGACCTCATAGCAGCCTTGCAGTATCTGAAGGGGACCTATAAGGACGCTGGGGAGGGACTCTTCATTAGGGATTGTAGTGACAGGACAAGGGGTAACAGGTTAAACAGGGGAAGCTTAGATTAGATATAAGAGTAAGTTCTTTCCAGTAAGGGTGGTGACACACTGTAATACGCTGCTCAGGGAAGCTGTGAATGCTCCATCCCTGGCAGTGTTCAGGGTCAGGTTGGGCAGAGCCTTGGGTGACATAGTTTAGGGTGAGGTGCCCCTGCCCATGGCAGTGGGGTTGGAACTAGATGATCTCAAGGTCCTTTCCAACCCTAACTATTGTGATTCTCTGTAGATGGAAAGAGGCAAGTAAAAACTTCTACATACACTGTACATTTCTGAATTGGTGGTTTTATCTTCTGGGCTTGCTTGATTCATAACATTTTCTTTCTTATTGTTTATTTACTTCCCTTCTGTGTCCTAAGAGTTCATGGTTACAGGGATTTGCATGGCCATCCACTGAGCAAACCACCACACCTGAACCTAGAACAACCCCAAGTCCCAGCTGGACAAGTGGATGCAGTGGCTGAGCTATGTGGCAAATGGAGATCAGTCCATCAAGACAAGCACACCACCATAAAACCAAAGTAATTCCCAAGTTTCAAAGAGTAGATGCATGACTTCATCTTTTCTGATGGTCTCAGAGGGAGCTGAAGATAACATTGTAGGTGCTCATCTATCAAGAAATCTAAAAGCTAATGTATTTTAATATGTTGGACATGATTATCAACTGTTTACCTATAGACAGATGAGAAGTAAAGGACTAAAGGGACTGAACAACAGTTATTAAACAATATGGGAAGGCTATTGCTATTTTATTTGCGCTGTGGAGATTATTTGTTTCTAATCCATTGGACTTGTTTGAGCTGTTACTTTATTATTTGTTTTAAAGCAATACTCTTCTACAAATTTTCCTTTATGGTTTTCAGAAGTACAATGCATTTAGAAGACTATGACCGTAAACAGCAAAGGATATAAATCCTCCTATTCCTCTCTTGGAAGAACTCCAAACTTTGACCCTCTGCTATTATTCTCCATTTCTATGGCAGATTTTTGAAAAAGACAGTAGAGAAGTATGTGGTATTGCAAACATATGGCTTCACTGTTACTCTCTCACAGTAAATTGTCCTCCAAGAGCCCAGGCTGCAGATCCTACATCTGCTTAGGATGTGCCTATTTATCAGCAGCAGTTAGGTTTAGCTTTTGCTATTTTTGCCTAGACTGGTACTTCTGTAAAAGAAGTTCTAAGTAGCAGTAATATAGCTAATGGTACTCTACTCTCTTCCAAACATCTTCCTGCCTACCTCACTATCCTGTGCTGGGGGGAAACAGGTGCTCAGAAACATTCAAAACAACTGCCAAAAGGGAAACTGAATGTACACTCACTGCTTTGCAATTTATTTTAATTATTTAATCTCATTTGAGCTCCTCAGGCAAACAGGGCAATCAGCTATGATGAGATGTGTTACTTAACACAGCATAGATGGCATAAATATGTACTAAGAAAGTGTCACATTACTTCTTTTTGTAAACATAGTAGAAGGCAACTTAATGAAGTATCCTCAGGTCACCAACTGAGAGGTGAAACTAGGTATTACTTCAATTTCAAAGCCAGGTGCAAAGATTTGTCTTCATGGGAAGACTAACACCATTTTAAATACGTTTTGATATAAAAAAATACTGACTCAGAGGCTGAGATTTATCCTGCGTAACTCCAGATTCCATTTAGGCTGTTATTTTCTACTGGAAGATAATCCTGCCCACCCACCCCTCATTAACTGAGAAAACAGAGACAGGTTCCCAATTTGAATGGCCAAATTAGAAGGGATTCATCTATGCCAAATGCAGTATATGCATTTAGACAGAAATTACTTAGGCATTACTTATCTTTGGTAATCTACCTAGAAGGTTACAGCTCCGAATAAAGGCAGTTTGTTACTCAAGCAAATCAGCAGTTTATGTCCAGCGTTAAGATATATGGGTATGGACAAGAAAACAAATGAGAGTGTGGTTTTGCTTCTCTAAGACACCAAGCATAAGATCACTCACTCTCCACTTAATGGCTTCTTAATGGTTAAGTTTATTAGAATTATTTGTAAGTACAGTATTAACAATTCACACTACTCATAACTACTCTCCTTGTTATTTCATATACATCAAACAGAGGCTATTTCAATTTCTGTATACATTTTAGAGATCAAGCAAAACAATAGAACAGTTGAGTGAGCACAAAGTATAAAATCAGAATGTAAAAATAAGGCAAGTGTGATAAAAGCATTAAGCTTAGTTGTTCATTAGAAAAATAGATTTTGCTGCCAGGTTTCCTCTGAAACTTTTAACAAGCATATTGCAAATGAGAGAATAGAAGTTAACTACAGTAAACAAATTCCTTTAAGGCACTATTATGTAACTTCTAATGTCAATTTGAAAATAATCCAGCAAGTCAGTTGACAGAAGTATTACCCTAGCAGTAATCAAAAAAAAAAAAAAAAAAGGAAATAAATAAACCCCAAATTTTTCTTTGGTTAAATGAAAGGCAGAATGGAGAAACAAATCATATTATGTTTCCATATGGAAATAAAACAACCATTTTGGCTAAGATGTAACAAACAAGTATGAAGTCTTACACAATTCAACTACAAAAATGAACTTACCAACAGTAAATTTAAACTCAGTTTCAGTAACAAGTTGTTTAATGCATTAGATATATACGAACTGGGTAAGAATAATAACAAGACTTCAAAACTATTTAAAAACAGAGGAGAAACATTTTTCAAGGATATTGCTTCCAATGAAAGATTTATCACTTGTTTTTTTCACCTGTGCAAGTGCTGAGCAATGGCAGACTGCTTTCAGTCACTGTACAGAACTTCCTACACAAACATTCTGAATGGCAGAGTTAGAAAGAAATTGGCTTTTTTTTCCTACAGATTTGTACTGTCTTCCCTGTACACATCTTAACTGCAAGTCATCTCAGTTCCTGCTGTCTGTCCCTCAGGACCCCTGCAGAATAACTGCAGGTCCTTCCCATGTCCTCACAACTATTCTTCAACTGATTTTTCCTCATTCCTTGCCCATTCCTAATCTGGGGGAGCTGTCAGCTATAAGTGCAACATGATACAGTTAATCATGGTGAGCCTGCATGTGCTGCGTAGCTCAACACTTAAAGGACCTTTCCACTCAAGAAATCTCCCTACAGTTAAGACACCAATCAGTTTCCTTCTAATTGCTCAACAGTCAGCGTGGGAAAGCTATGAGGGTGAATTTAAAGCAGGATACAAACATCATTTTCTTTGGCTGAAAGAGTTAATGGCACACAGATGCTGATTTCAGTATCAACAGCAATACTCATGGGTTTTCCCGCTCTTCCTCATGACTGCATGTGTCAAATGACCTGTAAGTAATCAATTATCTTGGCCCACTATTGGGTAATTCTTAGGTTCTCCATCCTAAAGAAACAGTCTTACAGCTCTATCTGAGCTCAAAGCTTGGAAACTCTCTTATTTGTCAATCTTCACACAGAATCTGGCCTCACAGCTGCTTGCGTTTACTTTGGACCTATGTACAGGAGGAATTTGCATTGACCACTTTGAAGTATTAGGAAACAGCCCTTCAGGATTGTTTTGCAGACCTTACAGTCTTTTCCTCTAAAAAATGGATAAGGCTTTTTTGGTATAGAAACCAATGAACTCTTGCATGAAAACAACGATTTCATCTTGGAAGACAAGATTAGCCCAACAAATGTATACAGCTGAGCCTAACAATTAGGTCAATTATGGATTAGTGTACCTTATTAAAACTAATTTTGTGGATTCTTACAATTAGCCCTGTTGTTTGTAGGAGATACCATTAATTATGCCAGTTTTCTAATATGTATCCTTTAATACTATTTATTGCCCTTTGTAGGGGAACCCAAGTTTTAAAACTAAGCAGACATACGATGAATAAAACCACTTACCAATATGAAAAGCTACTTACCAACCTAAAACCAAATGGGAAACCCCTTGCAGACATGGCAAACACAACATGCTAGAGGTAGTTCAGGACAAAACAATTGTTACAGAAGCCAATTTGACCCAACCCCAAAAGTCCTGATAGGAGAAACACATCACAGACGTAAAATCCATGCTTAATCCAGGTTTCCCAGTTCCTGCTTACCTTCAGTGCAACCCTTTTTTGCTAACACCAAAAAAATATCTTAAGTCTGGCTGATGTTGGCCAAGACCTCATACCACAGTTTCAGTATCAGACAGGAATGCTCCGTGAAGGCAGAAATAAGTTGTTACCATTTCTGCTTAAAAGGTGGTCTTTTTTCCAGATAGTACATAGCCTCCTTTTTGTTGAAAGAGATACTAATCCTGCTTTATTCCGAATCTAATTCTTAGATCTATTTAAGCTTACTCTTTTTCACTACTGAAATAACTACAAAAATTGTTTCAAGCAATATACAGAAGTAAGTCTTTCCAAACTGCAAACCATTTACTTGGTACAACAAAACAACTTTATAGCAACAATAAATTTGCATGAAAAGCTGTAAATGCATTATAGTTTTTACACTGCATAGAAACTTCAAGGCAAAATACAATAAACACAGTACCTTAGAAAGGGAAATCTTTATCAGTGTTCAGTCCTTATACAGTCAATCACTTAATGCTTATATACTTCCCATCGCTTTCCACCTGTCCTTTAACTTGTAATTTTAAAGACACAAACAATGAAAACAAAAAAGCATGTATCAGACTGGATTTTGTCCCCTCATCTCCAACAGCTAATGCTAGGCTTTCTGTTATTTTCAAATCCATAAGAACAGTAAAATCAGAAAAATAAAGGAAGGGAATTAAACATATTTTCAGTATTCCTTTATCTATGTTCAAAGAAAAATGACCAGTTTGAGGAAGTTCTGTTTAGATGTTTTTTCCTTTCATTTCCCTAGGGAGTTTGCAAATGCTGCCTCCTTTTTCCTTGCATTTTTATTGAGAAAAGTATTTTGAAGACTTGACTTTTCTCTTTCTTAAAATTTAAGTTTTTCTTTTTTTCTTTTAGATTGGCAAGAAAACACTACTAAGGCAATCAACTGATATTCTATTAGCTGCACCTTTTTCAATTGCCAATTGTGTAAGTAAATGGTGTATTTAGAATTATGGCAACTACCTCCTCTAAAGCAGTATCTTAAGTCATAACAGCAGTGTCACAACTTTTTGTGTATGAGAACTACTAGTACTCATGTTGCTTTATTGTAATACTCTGAAAATTTTAGCTGCTCAAGATCTACTCTGTGCCTTAAGAGGAGTTTAAGGAACAATACAGTATGCTGCAAGAAGCAAACGGTATCAAGTAGACGCGATGTAAGAACCACATAGTTGTATTTGTGAAATTTCTGTGCTCTGTATAAATTACAATCGCGAAACTGGGTTTGCAGCTCTCAGATCCTGCAGTAATTTTACAAGTGTAAAGAATTATTTCAGTTTCTTTGGATATGGTACTGTATCCCCTTTGCTTCTTTCATCTACTCTGGAATACTCTGAAATATCTGATCTGCACAGTCTGTAAGTATTTAGCCTATTTAGAATAACAGTATAGTAGTACATATATGTGGCAGGACATCTTCAGAAAATTCGTATCTTAAGTATTCAGAATGTACCTATCTTCCTCATTTAAGTGAAGCTAAGAAAAGTCAGAATGAAGACATTTTACTGCTCAGAGCAAACTGCAAACCTGTTAATGTGTAACTTAAATAATGATAAAGATTTCCCTTTGACAATTTCTGTCATAAGAAATGGCCGTGTCACATTCGCTTCATCTTCTAGTAAAAGGCTTTGTCTTTGGTGGAAATACTTTTTTGATCTTACAAGCCCAGCCTTGTAACACTTATAGGCCCATTCTATATCATCTGTTCATTCAATGAATGCGAAGTTAGTTCCAATTTAGAACATAAAATCAAAGACATCAGTCAAACAACAGGAAGTCTAATCACATAAAAAAAAGCTTTTTAGTAAAATAACAAATGTTACAGACAGCAGAGATCTAAATGCAGTACATTGGAACACATTATCATCTGTATAAAATAAGCAGTTTGACAGCTATTTTTAAAGCATCTTATTTTCTTAAAGTGTAGAGGAGTTTACTTAGAAGCATAGTGGACGTTTAAAATGCACAGCTGCATACTTCTGTAGCTTTGTGATCATTTCCATTTCTGCTGTACTAAATCTCCTGAATGAAAGATAAACATATTTCCTTAAAAAATCAATTCTATTATTTTGCTACTTAATATTTTACCATATTTGTTTGAAAATAAGCTTCGTTACAGTTCAGATTTTACTACTTTTTTTTTTTTTAAACAGTCCAGTTTGCAAATCTGGGTCCTTAGTGATTCACCGAGTATCATGTGCAAAAAGGGCTTTACAAGAATAGGACCTTGGAACCAATACTGGATAAATTCTTTTGTGCTAGTTTTGGCTGGGATAAAGCTGATTTTCCTCACAGTAGCTGGTGTGGGCTGCGTTTCAAATTTGTGCTGGAAACAGCATAAGTAACACAGGAACATTTTCACTATTGCTGAGCAGGGCTTACAGAGTCAAGGCCTTTTCTGCTCTTCACACCGCCCCGCCAGCAAGCAGGCTGGGGGTGCGTAAGTTGGGAAGGGAAAGCCAGGACAACCAACCCCAAATGAACCAAGGGATATCCCATGCCATAGGACATCATGCTCAATATACAGAGCTATGGGAAGAAGGAAGGGAAGTGGGATAATATGTGGAATTAAAGCATCTGTCTTCTCAAGTAACCATTATGCATGTTGGAACCTGTCTGTCCTGAAGGTGCCTGAACAACTACCTGACCATAGGAAGTGGTGAACGAATTCACCAATTTTTTTGCTTGTGTGTGGAGCTTTTGCTTTGCCCATTAAACTGTCTTTATCTCAACCCACGAGTTTTCTCACTTTTCTCTTTCTGAGTCTTTCCCCCATTCCACCAGGGGAGCATGAGCAACCAGCTGGGTGGGGCTTAGTTGCTACCCAGGTTTAAGCCATGACACTTTGAAAAACTAAGTCACAGCAATCATAACATATAGGAAAACAGAGGAGAGAACATGCTCTTGAAAGTACTTGTGATTATTTTCTGTTTGTTACTCTTCACCTGCCACTTCTCTTTCTGCTCTTTAAAACAAAGGGTATGGAAACAATCTTTCTTCAAGTAGATGGCTGGTGATGAGGAGAAATGCTACAAGCTGTGACATGAATACAAAGTCATTAATACCTCATCTTGAGATGAGAGACTGGGGTGCCAGCTGCAGAGGGGGGAATAACAAGAGGAAACAGCTACTGTGTAGGATTGGTGCTCAACTGACAACACCATCCTCTAACAAGCATTTCCATCTGGCGTAAGTAGAAGCAATTTGTAATTACGCTGTAAAGAGTAACAAGGATGAGGGTGTTCACTATATAGCTAAAGGGCTACATATTCGCTGCTTCCTTCTACCACTAAAGCTTTCCATCTATTACACTTTCCATCTATTATACTTTGCCTACTTTCCTAGACTCCTATAATCCCTTGTTTCATACCCCTGGTACTGTCACATTCCCCACTTGCATGTTTCCTCCATAAACACACTCAAAACCCAAAATACAGCCTAAAAAGTAGGGGCTTAGGTATATCAACAGTTATGCACCTCAGCACTTACCCTGCCAACTACAGATATATTTCATCAGGAACCAGGTTATTAAGCAAGTTAATCCAGGTCCTATTTTAAGAACTGCATAGGTGAATGGAACTACTAAACCACAAGGATAATGACAGCATTGAATTCTAAGGGACTGGACTCATTGTCTTGCTGATAATACATCATAAATTACTATATATTGTTTTATCTAAACAATGGTTCTATTCCTATGTTCCCACATTTAAAAAATAAAAATAAAAATCAAAACAACCAACCAAAAAAAAAAACCACCAACCAACCACACTGGTACACTGGGATGGCACAATGGATTTCTTCATCCTTGTATTAGGCTGTTAAAGAAAAGAGTAAATTCTTGTCTCCATTTCATTTCTACATACCTTCTTATGCACCAGATCAAACTCTTCTCTGCCTAGCTTCACTGCTTTCCAGACCACCGTCTTCTGATTTACTATAAGAGATGTTAAATCCCAGAACTCAACTTTTTCGTAGGAGCACAGTCATTCCAGTCCCACAACCCAGTAACAGAGTACATCTAGTTGATTTTCCCTCTTCTAACATGTCAAATTATAAGATTAAAAAAATTAAGCACCAAAAAAACCCAACTCTTGACATCTTTTAGCCAAGTAGTAAACAAAAGTCAATCACCCTCAAAACCCCACAAAGTTCTGTGCCTAAGGTATAACAGTGACACTAGTCCCAGAAATCATTTGCTGTACTATCATCTTATTCAGTGTATAGAATTTGTATATAAAGTGAATGCTTAAAACAATATACACCTCAACTTCCTCAGATTATTGGCTGAAACACTATATGATTGCTTTTTCTGGAGTACCTACAACTACCTATAGGGTGTTGGTCACAAAGACTTATATTAACAATACTCTGACTTAAAAAAAAAAAAAAGTATTTCTGAATCACTAGCCTCCTACCTAGAACTGTAGCATTACAGCATTATAGAACTGTAGCATTATTATATATATAGCATTAGAATTGTAACACTCTAATTACAGCCTCAACAATCAAATTCAGATGTACATGAGTCATCATTTGACGTAATAGACCTGAGAAGTTCCTTTTGAGACACTGATACACAATTCTAAACAGCCAGTAGCTGATAAAGCTTTCAGTTATTAAAATCAGGCAAAAAATACAACGTTTAGTAGAATTACTTCACATGTGTGTATCTAAGATAGAACTCCAAAGTAAAGATTTATCAGCTGATCAAAACCGCATCCCACATCTCATCAAGCTTGAAAACATTATTTCAGTGCACTACTGTGCAGGGTTGCACAACAAGGGCGATTTTCAAGCCAAGACATTTCCAGTCAGTCTCACCTCCATGCCTGGCAAAATGTTAGAGCAAATTCTCCTGGAAGGCATGCTAAGGCACATGAAAAACAACAAGGTGCTTGGTGACAGCCAGCATAGCTTCACGAAGGGGAAATCCTGCCTGACCTATTTGGTGCCCTTCTATGATGGGGCTATGGAACTGATGGACAAGGGTAGAGCAGTTGACATCACCTGCCTGGACTTGTGCAAAGCATTTGACACTGTCCCACATGACATCCTTGTCTCTAAATTGGAGACACATCAATTTGATAAATGGACCACTCGGTGGATAAAGAACTGGCTGGATGGCCGCACACAAAGAGTTGTGGTCAATGGCTCAGTGTCTGGCTGGAGACCAGTAACGAGTGGTGTCCCTCAGGGGTTGGTGTTGGAACCAGTCTTGTTCAACATCTTTGCCAGTGACATCGACAGTGGGATTGAGTGCACCCTCAGCAAGTTTGCCGATGACACCAAGCTGTGTGGTTCGGTTGATACGCTGGAGGGAAGGAATGCCATCCAGAGGGACCTTGACACGCTTGTGAGGTGGGCTGCTGCCATCTCACAAAGTTTAACCATGCCAAGTGCAAGGTCCTACACCTGGGTCAGAACAATTCCAGACACAGCTACAGGCTAGGCAGAGAAGAGATTCAGAGCAGCCCTCTGAAGAAGGACTTGGGAGTGTTGGCTGATGACAAACTTAACATGAGCCGGCTTCAGTGTGCGCTCGCAGCCCAGAAATCCAACCATACCCTGGGCTGCATCAAAAGGACCGTGATCAGCAGGTCAAAGGAGGTGATCCTGCCCCTCTACTCTGCTCTCATGAGACCTCATTTGGGAGTACTCTGTACAGTTCTGGTGTGCTGAACTTAAGGACATGGAACTGTTGGAACAAGTCCAGAGGAGGGCCACAAGGATGATTAGGGGGCTGGAGCACCTCCTGTATGAAGACAGGCTGAGGAAGTTATGGCTGTTCAGTCTGGAGAAGAGAAGGCTGTGTGGAGACCTCATAGCAGCCTTTCAGTATCTGAAGGGGACCTATAAGGATGTTGGGGAGAGACTCTTCATTAAGGACTGTAGTGATAGGACAAGGGGTAACGGGTTAAAACTTAAAGCAGGGGAAGTTTGGATTGGATATAAGGAGGAAGTTAAAGGTGGTGAGGCACTGTAATACATTCCCCAGGGAAGTTGTGAATGCTCCATCCCTCACAGTGTTCAAGGCCAGGCTGGACAGAGCCTTGGATGACATGGTTTAAGGTGAGGTACCCCTGCCCATGGCAGTGGGGTTGGAACTAGATCTCAAGGTCCTTTCCAACCCTAGCTACTCCATGATTCTATCATTCTACTGTGAGGGTGGTGAGGTACTGGAACAGGCTTCCCAGAGAAGTTGTGAATGCTCCATCCCTGGTAGTGTTCGAGGACAAGCTGGATGGAGTTTTAAGTGACATAGTTTAGTGTGCGGTGTTCCTACCCATGGCAAGGAAGTTGGAACTAGATGATCTTTAGGTCCTTTCCAACCCTAACTGTTCTATGATCCTTATGGAACAGCAGTATAATAGCACAATAAATTTCCAAGACATATTCCCAGCTTATAATGTAACTGAATTTCAAAACTGGTTAAAAAGAGGGATAAATACTAAAAATATATTTTTATCTATCACTGCAAATAGGAATGGAAGCATGAATACAACATAGGGAAACAAAGGTCACTACATCAAGAAATTTAAGAAGGGTGCCATGCAGAAGGACAAAGAGATAAACATTAAGTGAAGGGACTGAGAGTAAAACATGCATTAGACTGGACACATCAAAAAAGAACTGCTAGGCTGCATCTCAAAACAAAAGGAAACTTAACAAGCAGATAAAGTGACTGAGCGTCAAAGGTTGGGCTGAGGGAGAAAGGTATAGCTTATTTTAGCAAGCGAGCTTTGCATCATCCTCAGGATGGGGAAGCCTACATGGGAGCACCAACACTCAAGCAGCAGAACAGCAACAGAAGTGCCTACACGTGCCCCTTCAGCTCCAGCAGTGCAGCCATCCTTGTGCTCAGTGAGCCCAAGCTATCAGCACCACAAGAGGCACTACTCCAGAGGCTGGTGTTAACCACCAAAAAAGGCAACAATACCAGCTCCCAGTAATCCAGCAACTACAGGCTTACCCAGGATAATATGGGCTTTGACCACATGCAAGTGAGAGAAATTTATGTTAATATGGATAATAAAATAAGAGAAAAATTTCAAAGACTCTTTTATTAAATTTTTACCTGAAAGTGACTTTCCCCCTAATCATAGAGCTTCCCTGCCCATGGCAGGAGGTGATAGGATGAGATGACCTTTAAGGTCCTTTCAACTCAAACCATTCTATGGTTCTATGATTTTAGAATGAGTTCATAATGAGAATACATGGTGTTTTCAAAAAAAATGAAATCTATTCCGAACACCAAAATTAAGTGCTGCCTACAAAACAGCATTCTGCATACTGGAATTTTTAAGGAAGTCTCAAGGAAACGAATGAACTGTACCTTCTTATTCATCACTAAACCTTATCAATTGGGTCAACAACAAGGTATAATTTTATACAACATACTAATATGCAAAAGAGCAAGTATTTAACTGTAGTACACAAATTCTTTACTTACAGATGCTCAATTTGGTCAAATTCTTTTTCGGCTTCTGCATAACAGAAAAATAATTGTATAAGGTCTCAATTTAACAAACACTAGAAAAGTTCTAGCTTATTATTTTACTCCATGTCTAAGCAAAACATTTTTTTCATTTTATTAGTTTTCCAAGATTTATAGTTCAAATTATGTTGTTCCTCTGTTCAGTGGAAGTACCTGTGAATTTTTCAAAAAGCTTACTTTGATCAAATTTTAGCCTGATTTTAATACATTATATATACTATATATATACATGTACGTATAAAACTGAAACACATATACATGTAATATAGACACATATATGCATAGGGGTTTTTTACATAGATACATCACTTTACATAGATACATCATCTTGTACATCTAGTTTGGCTCACCTATATGTGCCTTAGGTTCAACCACCAACAGTGTGTTCTGGTTTGATGCATTTTTAACTTCTTACTCAATTGCTTAACAGAAGTTTCTCTCTTCAAGACTACTAAGAGTTACATACATTCCTAAACAAGTGTAGCCTCTAGATTGTCTTGTAAAGAAAAAAGTAATGACTATATCAAAACATTTATGCAAAAGCACAACTTACTGAAAGCACTTTGTACCTGAATTCAAGACTCATGAAAGAGATTTTAAAATTTAAAAATAATGCAGTGTTCTGGAAGAAAGTATTTTATCAGAAAAAACAGATGTGGGGGGGAAAAAAAAAAAATCACATTGAACTTCATACATGAAGTGTTACATGCCCTATCTTTCTACTTTTGTCTGCAATTTCAATGGAAAGCTAGAAAGGGCTTACCTTTATGTTTTACTTTTGTTGAATATATCTCGTAACAGACAATGAGAGCTACGAAAATAACAACTTCAATCACAATTGCTATGAAGGGTTTGAGAGGCACCATGAAGGACAGAACTTTAAGCTCCAGTCTTCCTTTACTTTTCCCTAATTCAAAAGTAGCTTCACACCAATATTCACCACCATCCTCCTTGGTGACCTTCAGTATCTTCAGATGGGTTATACTGGCAGACTTTTTACTAATTACATACCTGTCTGCCAGCAAAGACTCATTAATGACAATCTGAAATTAAAAAATGCAAGTCTTATTAATGTAATGAGAAAGTGGCTAAAGAAATTATTTATATTATCAATAGATAGTTCTGTATAGAGTGATGTAAAAACAACTTCAGAACAAGTGGCATTTGTGAATTATGTTTACTGCACCTCCAAGGGAAAGTTTTATCTTAGCTGTCTGCCTGTGTTCCCTTTATATTCAGTGGAGGAAAATACACTTTTAATGGGCAAGTTGTCTGACCTGTTTTAGTCCGCTTAAGATCAGATGAAAGGTAGCCCTGACTCCACTGACTCTCCATTGACAAAAGCAGTTTCAGGTGTCAGGATGCAATACAATGTTTTACCACAGCACAAAGCATGTACTTTTAAGTTGAACTGGGAATGCTGCTTCACTGGAAATTATGTTAACAGTCTTACAAGCCAGTGCTACTCTCCAGCAGCACAGAGGAGACAGATCTATTTACCTCCTCTCTAACTTATTTTAGAAATTAAATGCTGCTTCCCCCAGAAAAGGGCTAGAACAAAGTGGCTATACTTCCAAGCCTAATGGGGATCTTCAAACGTGAGTATGTGAAGAAGGGAAACTGCTGAGCAAGATTTTTCGTTATAGCCTTTAAGGCAAGAGCAGAAGTGAGAAGCGATTTCAACTCCTTCAGAATGAAGTGGCACAGCAACCTCCACATGGGATGACCTCCTTCAGCTCCAGTGCCCCAGAGGCCATACAGACGGGGAAATACAGAATTACTTGTATATGGAGAAGGAGAAAAATGGGTATGTACCTTTTCACCTCAAGCCTCCAATACCTTTCATGTCTTTAGAAATGCTGAGCTGTAAGATTTTTCTTGGTATCAAGCAGCAAAATTTGAACAAACTATGACCATTAATATAGTAAGATGAAATACCTAATGACCTGCCTGATTTGTTTCACTTCTACCTGGTCTGTAAGGGTATGGCAGGGACTTTTTGGAAAGGGAACATCATGAAAACCAGAAAAACTAAATCCCTGTAATAATGACTATTCCTAAATATCACAGATTTTTTTCCCATCACGTACAGAGATTTTAATGAGATTTAACAGAAATTCAATTAGTAGAGCCTACAGCAAAAACTCATCATATTTTACAAAGGGTCTGTACTTGGATTTTGCCACTTTGTTTCGCTTGGCAAACAGATGGAAACCTTACCTGTTTACTTCCATTGGTCATATACCAGGTCCAAGAAATGGCTGTATAGCCAGGACATTCACAAGTCATTACAGCTGTATCTCTAAGGTAACTGATCGTGGGTTTTCCTTTTCGTTCAATTTTCGGTACTATGAAATGGGAAAAAGTTCATTATGTGAGATCTACAAGTTTTAATTACAATACTGAAAAAAGATATTTAGGTATCTACTTATAGTAGTCCATTCACTTCCTTTTCCTTTAAAATATAGATGATTCTATCATTCAAGACATGATGTAAATGAAGAGTCATTTCAGGCTGATACTATACATACAGAATTTATGCAGAAACTATGAGAATCCTGTTCACAGTTGCTGTCTGATCTTAAAAGCTGCCAATTAAAACTGAAAATTAAGTGATACACAGATTGCGATTTCTACCCTTGGCCATTTCCTCTTTCTGTAAAAGCTGTGAGCTACATGCTTCAACTCTAGTACACTAGAAAAACATACTAATTTTCATACAACTCCACTCAATCAGCAAAAAGTCATAGAAGTCTATTCCAGCCATAATGCTATAACATAATGGTATACGGCAATGGCTGCATATGCAGGGAGCTTTTCTTTGCAATTAAGACAAAACAACAGACTGATAGACTCTGCAGCTAAAAATATTTTGAGTTGAAGCATGGCTTTCAGGTGCATGCCAATATAAAAGAATGTCAGTCCAATCTTGGTAAGGACAGAACATTGCCAGAAGAAACATGGCATCTGTTTGTAACTTCAGACCTACTTGTCGCAGCCACTATAACCACAGATGACCCACAGCCTTCCAAAAGCAAAATCCAAGAGTTGTTGAATATATTCAGGCATGCCACGGATATATTTGCTCAGCTGTAATTACATCATGCTAGAGTATGTATTTCCCCTTCTTCCCCTCTTTATTAGGATGTTTATCAGCATGCTTTCTTCAGATCCATTTATTTTAAATTTTACCTAGAAGTTTCAATTGTTCTATCTTGTTAAGTAACAGAACCAGTACATCTTAAATTATACTGGTCACACTAGACTAAACAGGCCAAGAATTTGTTTTCAGGAGTTATGATGGAACAATTTGGTATAAACTAAGATTTTGCTTGTTCACTCCGCTCTTCGATTGGCTGAGCACAAATTAATTTTCCACAAAAAGTTCACTTCTTGTGAGCAACCAAGCTTCAAAATTCCCATTCCAGAAACAGTTATTAAACCAATTTCTTAAGAATAACATTGCTTAAAACCTCAGAATTTGCTGCACTATACATCAACCCATCATCATTATTAGTGAAGTCTTCTCACTCCATACATATTTGTTTTAATCATTAAACACTATCCTTCCTTCTAAAGAGCTGTGGCAGAGTACCCTCACTTCTGTCAGGTAACTTCCAGTAATTGTTTACACCTCCCTGGCAATTCATAGAAGAGAAAAACCAAAAGAAGTTAAGGAAAAAAAGAACTTAACACAGGAAAGCAAACAGAAAACCCTCCTACCCAGCACAAGAGGTTTTTTTTAGTCAAAAAGATTTAGCCATTCTGATGAGTGGCAAACAAACTACAGCTACCAGCATACCAACAACACATATGACCACATTAGCCATGAACAAGGACAAATATCCATCATGAGTTCTGGGATCTGGCTCTAACAGAGTGGTTAATCCTGATTGTGCAAGGAAATATTGTGCTTTGCTCCAGATGATTTTGCAAGAATTTTTACCCAGCACTGGTGCTGTACAGAAAAATGTTGAGATGAGCAGACAGGTGATCACACCAGCATTTGCACCAGTCAAGAGTTCCACACTAGTTAATAAAGACAAGAGTTGTTTCATAGTGCATATACCTGGACAGGTGCTCAAGGAACCCTGAACAAAGGGCAAACAAATTAATCTATTCTACCCTTTAATATAGATACTAAAACACTACAAAATACCCATGAATTAATCTCCATATTTAATAATTTGATCTCCCTATAAGCATCTCATTATTTTCTGCAGACATGGGTAAAAGCTTAAATTTGCAGGGTCATGCCATGCCAGAATGGGGAGGAAAGGGAGGAGAGGCAAGACATCCATAATGCCTAACTGCCTTGTGGAAAATCATTGCAGTTAGTTACAGCAGTGATGACTTTAGCCACTGAGTCTATCAACATATTACTCATCTTTCAGTTTGAGATTTGTTCTCTCTGCATTATTGACTGGAAGATTCAAGGACTTCTCTTTCCCATTTCCTTCACTCTTACATTAATCTTAAAAAATGTCAAGCCTGTACATTTTATGGCACCAGAAGTGGCAGCATTCAACCACTGTGAAACAATTGTCCCATCTTCTTGTAATAAATCAAGCAGTCCTATGCACTGTTCTGGAAAAGATGACTTCCCTATTGAGTCATTCCTGCCCTTACTGAAACAGTTACTGTATACTTTCAAATGAATAAGGTCTCCTTTCACTTTTTTAATCTGAACAGAATTGGGTAGACTTTCAACTAAACTTTAAGCATATGCTGACAAAATATACAATCATTTTTAGAGATTAAAAAAACTTAATAAACTACAATTTTTACTTTCTTCAATATTACAAGCTAGTCTCCCTTGGCAGAAGGTTTGAAAACAGGTATCGTTTTAACAGTTATCGTAGGAAAAGGCAATAGCTCTCATTAAGATACGAAGGCTCTCAGCAGCTTGTGTTTGTTCAATTACCACATCTTGCATTCAACTGCATTTCACCTACTACTGTTGAGACAGTATTACTGGAGAAAAGAATGTAACACAGAAGAAAGGGCACTCCTACTCCCCAATTAAACACAGTAACTTTTAATGTAAGTGCTGTTATTAGACAGAATGACAGATGCACTAAAGCAATAATTTGGTGTTTCAGAAATAGAACCGAATTTGTTCAAAAACCTGCCTCCATTCTGCTAATCATTTGCTCCTCTTCTAACATCAAATCTCAAGGTAAACTTCTAAGTCATTGGCTCTGCTTATTGAAGAATTTATCTGAGACACCATCCTTTCCTCCCAAACCCCAGAAAGTGATGAGCATTTACTCCTGCTTAGGGATGGAAAAAAGAGGAAATCAGTTGCTCATTTAAGAAAAAAGTAGGTTTATATACTCTTTTGGTTGGTAACAAGTTTGGTTAAAAAGGCTTCAAAATTCTTCTTCCCTCCACATCTTTGATAGTGAGTATCACTTAGCTTGTCCATATTAGTCACTGCTTATCAAATCAAGTTGCAATTTCCATACTATCCAGAAACCATAATAAAACACACAATTTCAACAGTCAAGTGAAGCAAATCCGAAGTAAAATAAAACTGAAGGTAGTTAAAATTGAATACAATTACCTTGTAAGTGAAAAATACCACTGAGCTGTTTTTCACCTTTCAGGGTACAGTTGTAACTTCCCAACTTACTGCTGTCTGAGACACTAACTCTTAAAAGAAAAAAATAAATTAAAAAAATAATCACCAATATGGTTTTCTGATTGTATTCTCTTTTGCCCTACAACTATTGGTGACTGCTAACTAACAGTCTAAATAAACAAAGAGATTAGTAGTGGAACAGAGAAGAGACACTGCTGAAACACTGGATTCAGATTCACTGCAATGTAGAAACAGCATGACATTTTTAAGAAAACAAAAGCACAAGCACAGTTGTGAACATAAATATTTTCACCCTTTATGCTCATAGAAGGCCAAACATTTTTAAGCAGTATGATCTACAGTTTACCAAACAGGATATACTATACAGCTCACATGGTGAACCCATGTTCAATGTAGGACTTCAGAAGAGATTATTTAAATGGTTTATTCTTTCTAAAGCCAGTCAATGGCTAGCACAGCTTCAACACAGAACAGTTTTAAAGAGCTGCCACCTACTGAAGCCCAGCATCTCTGTCGGTAAACATTTCACAGGCACTTTGTACAAAGATTTACGTGGCTATGCTTGTGTATACAGAGTAGCAGAAAAGTAAAATATATTCTCACCACATTTTCCATCATAGAAATTTCAGATAAATATCACTGATGTTAAGAAACCAAAGCTATGCAGAAATCAACTGGAGACTACCTTGTTAAATATCTGTACAGGGGTTAGAGTCCAACAGTAAATAGTGCCAACTGAGGAAGATTTCTGCATTTCTTGAGACTCCTCAGAGGTTATAAAGGGCTAAGAAAATCTTTAAAACAAAACATTTTTGCGTAAAGCTGTTTTCTTCTTTGTTTTGCTAATTATGACCTAATCACTGATGACTTTCAGATTACTGCAAAGGAACACTGAGATGTAAAAGAGAACATGGAAGAACAGGGAACTTGAAAAAGTAACTGAGATGTTTTTGCAATCTCAGACTAAGACTACTTAAGTTCTGGGTAATACAGGAGTTCTTCCTTCATGCCTGTGGTAACTGCGAACTTTCTCCTTTCCTGCAGCTTCAATCTGCCAGTTACAGACATATATTAAACACTGCATCTTGCTCTACAACACACATGACTAGTGATAGCAGTGTATATGCATGGGATAACTCATTAGAACCTGCAAGTCAAACTGTAAAGAATGCTACTTACTTGATGCTCCAGCTGTTATCAGTTTTATTGGTATGACTGATTGTTTCATTTCCCCTCCTCCAAGTCACTTGAAAACTTTTCAAATAAGAATACTCCTTGTCCAATATGCAAGTAAGTTCAACTTCAACTACCTTTTCCAAACTGATAGTTGTTTCCACAGAAGTATCAGAAGCACCTAAAAAGTTTAAAAATTATTATTTACAAAAAACATTTCTCATTGTGGAGGAAGAACAGATTCAAATTTGTGTTTTACATATGCTGGATTACAAGTGGGTATATTGTGTTGCTGTTATACTTTCCAGGCTAAAACTGCAAAAATCAGACAATGCCACTGAAAGCAAGATAAGACATTCTTCTACATAATTTAACCCAAACCCAAAATTCTTACAGAGTTCTAACATACAAACATAGATATTCATTTCACTGAAAGCAAGATAAGACGTTCTTCTACATAATTTAACCCAAACCAAAGTATACTAAGTACTTAGCTCTCGCCAGGGGCAACAATATCTGCTCCCAGTCTAAACTTCCTTTTGAAATTCACATTTGGTATTTAAAAAGCAGGATTTATTGGACTAAAAATAATAGTAAGCATAGGAAAAATATTAATAATCTCAAAAAGTTTGACTTGTACCTATAAGCACCCAAGTTCAGCCAGTTGTGTATTTTTATGATACTGTGAGACAGGTAGTGTCCTGCTGCTACTGAAGATGTGGACAAAAATCCACAGCCTTAACATTTTTGCGTCTGGCTTTTCATGCTACAGCTGCTGAATTTGAAAACAGATCATCTTCAAATTATGGCTGCCTTTTGCCTTCCTAGTAACAAGCCAGTACAATTACAATACAAAACAGTACAATACAGTAAAACCACCGGACACTTTTTATGCTTATGAAGCTTGTTAAAAGCAAAAGTGAGTGTATCCAAAAAGTAGATTCCAACAGCAGATAATGCAACGGTGTTAAGTCACTGGACCAAGTTGTGGCTGCCTCATCTGTGGGAGAGTTAAGTCCAGGTTGGATGGTGCTTAGAGCAACCTGGTCTAATGGAAAATGTCCTGCTCGTGCCAGTGGAGGTTGGTACCAGATAATCTTTAAGGTCCCTTCCAACCTTAACCAGTCTATGATCATCTGAATATCTTGTATTTTCTCTGATCTACTCAGCCTTTTATAAATAACACACTTGACTTTTTACTGGTCAGCACTGACATTTTATTTCATAATTGGCATTTTCTTTCATACCTTTTAGATACAACTGTGGTTAGTCTACCCAAATACTCCACCAAAAAATTATTCCAGGCCTCACCTCAATCCTACACCTACCCTATGATGGTCAAGGGTACAGTTGTATTTCACAGCTCATTCAAATTCTTTGAGAAGAAGCAAGTTTTAAGGTACAGCTCATTGCCCTAGTACTTCAAGTCATACCTAAGCAGCAGTAAAGACTGGCTGAAGTAGAAGCCCCAGATACTCCCATAAAATATTTAAACTTCACTGGGTCTGGTACATACATTTACAGCCTGCAGAACAGCACACCAAAAAATCCAAATCCCAGCCAAAATACCACATATCTGTTGAACTAGGGTCAAAGTCACAGGTGCAACACCTTAAGCTTTCATAGCAGAGGAAAGTCAGTAACTGCAACTCATTTATTAGAGCCACCACACTTAATAAATTAGCCAAGCATAACTCACCTTGTTGTTTACAATAGAAGTAATTTTACAAATGGAATTGGTTTCAGAATAGCTAAACCTTTACAGTCAGATTAATTACACTGGCTAAAAGTAGAATCTGTACTTTGAGGTTATTTAAAAACTTCACACTTTAAATGAATGGAATGCAAAAACCCTATGCTGTTGAAGGCTAACCACTACCACAACCGGTATCTGGGACATCTCTGTACCAAGAGTACATGTAGCAGAACAAGAGATACTACCTTAAGCTTCCTCCTAGAAGAAATACAGTGTAAATGCTGTACAATAATGTCATTAAAATATCATAGCAGACTTTTGCAATGGAATTCTAAATTATCTCCTCTCATTGAGAGGTATTTCAGTTAGATTAATTTTTCTAGTTGTCCAAGAAGTTAATTATTATGGGAACTTCACATCACCTGTAGGAAGAGCTTTATCTTGCCTTTTCTCCATGCTTTAAATCCTGTAATGCTGCAAAGTTGACTGACAGCTGCTGGTTAACAAGTACCCTAGCTTATGTGGTCTTCACAAGCAGATTCACTAGTGCAAAGAAACAGTCACTTGGATTGATTTGGGGGAAGCACATAGCTATGAGCTGGTTTTACTTGCATTTTTTAAAAAGAATCTCATTCTCCACTAATAAAAATAATTATTAGAACACAATAATGCAACAAACTTATTAGTATTTCCCTTTATTGGGCTCATCACATGCTTACTGTGAGCACTGTAACTTTATCAAGAAAGTGCCATCCTAGCTACTTCCCCAACTCATATAAAAGATTGTGCATAATCATAGGCATTCAATATAACATAACTGGAAGAGGAAAAATTACATACCAGGTAGGAGTAACTCATACTGCACAGAAGTGACACTCTGATTGCTTGTCTGTCTGGACTCTTTTGTGGCAAGATTCGGACCTAACAAAGTTGTAAAGGAAGCAATGTGATATGTTATGATCCTATAAAGGTAATCATACTGCAGAACATCAATACAGTGCTGCAATTATTTCTTACAGTAATATCAGGGAAAGGACCTTGCTAAACGCAGACTACTGTGGACATCCTTTCACATACCTTGTGGGTTAGAAGCAAGAATCTGAAAACTGCAGTGTTGTGTGGCTGCTGCTATAGTAATTATGTCATTTTAGAAGATTGTTTCTAGCTTTAATATACTGTAACTGTGAATGTCAATACTCTGAAGAAGTTGTAACTATCCACTTTAAAGCCCGATTCAAAGACTATAGGTGGGCCCTAAAACTGTATAGGACTACATCAATGTTTAAGTACAGCTTGGAAAAAGCAATAAGCTTTTTTTTTAAAAAAAAAAAAAAAAGCTTTTTTTTTTTTTAAAAAGGCAAAAAACAAACAACAACAACAAAAAAAAAAAACAAACAAAAGATAAGCAAAAAAACACCACCACAAACACACACACAATGTAACACAGAAAGACAGAACACTGCCATTCCCAAAGCCACCGCCATTTAACAATATGGCCAAAAAGCTGGAGGTAGACCATCTAATCTAGATGTAGCTCTAATAGATGACCATCATCTGCCTGACTAAAATATACTCATTTCCTTCTGTGAAGGAAAACTGTGTTTAGGAAGTTTAATACACCCTGAAAAAACTCCTTTCTGTCAGGCTATGGATAGCCTACTTTTCAGGGACTACCTTTATAAAACTCAATACAGCTCTCAGGCAGGCAACTGTAAGCATGAACAGTCTGTTCCCACTTCCCTAGCTGTTTTCATGCTCCATGCATTTCCAGGACAGCAAGAAAGCAAATTGATAAACTACAGCATTAACAACAGATGTAGCCCCACTAAGTAAGCATCATCCTTCCACATCTACACACATAACTGTTTCCTTAATATTGTACTATCTGCTTACAAATCCCTAGTAAACTGAAACACACTGTGGGAGAAGGCATTAGAAGTTATGCTTAAAGGAAAGGTCAATTTAACACAGTTCTAGCAATTTTATTTTTTCAGTTTCAACAGTTACTTTCTGTACAGCTTGAACATCTTTATCTTGCTAATTACCAACAAATACAAAACTTCCATGACCATTTCATATTAAAAACAACAACAACAACACAAACTAAAAAAACACAGACAAAAACACTAGGTAGAACCTTAGAGTAGCTGAAACAACCATTTCAGTAGAATGACATGATTGCTTTTACCAGGTACAGACACTTCACGTCCAAGTGTCACAGGATCCAAAGGGCGCCCCTGTGTTTGCCAACTGACAATTTGTGTAGTTGCCATGGGTTCTAAAAGGTGACAAGAAACAAACCTGTTACAAAAAAATATTTTTCTTTCAATTTAGTGAAGAAACAAAAGCAACAGATTCCTCTTGCCCCACAGTACATAAAACACACTGGTTTTAGTTTTACATGCTTGCAAAGCAATTTTACTGTCAATTTTATAATGCATTTCAGAAATATAGAAATAGTAACTATATATTGAATCTGCCTAATCATACAACATTATAGGGGAAAATTACACTAGTTTTTGTAGAAGAAAAAGGGCTTCATTATGTCTCCTGTGCATGGATTGAAAAGGTTCATATTCAGTCAGGAAAATGGAGAAAACTGGCCTAGCTTGATTTCTTACTGACAGAAGCACTGGGTGGCAGAGTTGATCACTGCGCAGTAAAAATAGTCTCTGAAAGCCTAGGTCTCCTCAGAATTACTCCTTCCCTTTTCCTGCATAAAATACTGAACTTTGAGGCAAAGTTCTTGAACGTGCTTCACTCAGCTGCAATTTGAGAGAACCTGGCTGTGCTAAAGGAGGGCCCTGCTAGCGATCTGAATCCAAAGGTCTCTGAGCAAGCATAAGCACAGGTACCACATGCTTTCGAAGTTGCAGGCCCATTCTGTAAAGCAGTGTTTTTCTTTTATCTGCATGCCAGCTCACAACACTAAGGACACTATGCCACAGGCAATCAGCCTTTTGGCTGGCTTGTTTCATCTGCACTTTCATACCTTCCCTCCTGCTTCAACAAGTTAAAGTAACAATAAACCTGTATACAAAGGTGATGACGCCGAAGAACACAGCTACATTTGGTTGTTGCTGACAGCATACTGTTGTCAATCTCAGGTGCTATTACAAAACGGCTTTTTAAGAAAAAGAAAATTATAAAGCTGTCTCCCAGCACTAGACAGTAAATCCTGGTTCTCTAGATAACACTACAAGCAAGCCTTGATCTCTACCTGATGGAGAAAAACTAGCCCAAGTGTTTACCCCTGAAATAAGACATGAAGGCTGAAAGAGTTCTGGAGACTGTCTTTGCTTATGTGTGAAAACACCCTGTTTTCTCATGGATCACTTCAGTTTATGTCAGTCTAGTACATGCATCACTTCATTTGTTACTGAAATCTCTCATGATGATACATTCAGAAGGCAGCAGTGCCAGTCCATATGGTAACTGTTATCCATACACAAAAAACAAAACCACCTTTAGAATGCCCTGCGCACTAATAGGATCATTATACTGACTTTCTTTCTCAATTCACGTATAAATGAAATAATCAGGTTAGGTCATATTATATAAAATACTTGTGTATTTTAGTTCATGGAAGCTTTCAAAAACATCTGTGGTCCCTTCTAGATCACATCTTTCTATACAACCTGTAGTGGAAGGGGATCCTACTCATAGCAATGTGGTTGGAACTAGACGATCTTCAGGGTCCTTTCCAACCCAAACCATTCTCTGATTCTATGTATATGTGTGCTTAAGTATGGAAAGAGTTACCGAATACAACAAAACTGTAGATGGAATAACTTTTCCAAACTTGCTTGAGTTAGGTATAAATATAAATATAACTTAGTCCACGTTTGATATGTACTAACCAACATGAGCTTTGGTACACTGCTGAATTCCTCCTTCTCTGTGTTTATGAGAAAGGAGAGGTGGAATCAGCAATCATCAGTTTCTTCTCCTGCCTGGAACTTATTCTCTGCTCCCTATTAAAACCACAGTTAAGGTCCAGAATATGATGAATAAAGTCCAGGGACAACCAAAGGTTTTGACACATCCATAATTAAAAAAAAAAAAATAGAGGAAGATAGCAGCAAGGAGCCTGGCATTATTAACAGAATCACAGAATAGCTAGTGTGTGTACATATATAGTTAATAATATATATAATTAATGCCCTGGTGCAAGGGCATTATTATACCTCTCACTAGCTCAAGAGGAGGATTCCTCACACAAAAAATTACCAGGGCTGAGTGCGAAAACAGAACCTCGGACAATGGTTCTAGGTTGGGAATTATCCCATCTCCAGGGCCATTGCCTGCTTTTATCACATATATGCATAAAGGCAACAGATCACACAATTAGCAGTTAGACAGCTTTTTCCGGTTCTCAAGATTCTTACACCTTAGCTCCTGCAGTGGCTTTAAAAGACGCAGATTACATATTTACTTCTCTTCCCTCTGAAGTCACAATCTTACTTTGAAAGACTTTAGTATAAAAATGTAAACTCTACACCATAATTTAATATCACTAGGAAAATGTGTTATAGCTTTAGGTGTACTGAAATAAAACAATTACCAGGAAATGACTCATTAAGTCCATTCTTCATATTAGTCAAAGAGTTTGCCTGAGACTGACTGCTTGCATCTTGTGTTGTCATAGTCATAGCTGGATCTAAAGAAAGAAAAAAGGGTTTAAAGAAACTTTACTCTCCCTAAGTTGAACTGAGTCAGAACCATCTAGTTAATGAAAATAATTAAAACAGAATTTCCTCACCACAGCCTACTACCTACATTTTTTCCCCAAAGTTCTGAGCATACATAGAAGAAGCGTGCAAGAACTGCTTTTCATTTTTTATTTAGCTTACTTTAGGCAGGAAAAGACTAAAGAACAGAAGCAGTATTTGACCTCTAATTTCTGCAGGCCTATCTTTTCCTGTAGCTAGCCTATAGCCAGGCAAAGACATTCTTCAGGATATTCCACCAGGCCAATAAACTTTTTAAGGTGTACTCAAATTCTGTCTTGTTTATGGGCTTAGACCACCATGTTTTACGACAGTGACACTAGTTGGTTATTTTTAAACAAAGATTAGCAGATTCACTAATAAAGACCTTATTACAACCTTAAACATCTAGCCTGTTTTGTGATGCAGTGAAAAACTTCCTTTCCTACTACTATTACCCTGGTGAGCAAAGCAAAAGCATTTATCTTAAATATCGAGTTCAAGTAGTAATAATGACTAGTTCCATTTATCACCACTGCAAACCTGATACTGCTCCTGCAACACAGCTTTTGCAAGAGCCAGGCAAGACTCTAGGGTGTTGCTTTATGGTCTTGACTGGAGAAAGGACAGGGGAAGAGGCAAAAGACTTGCTTAGTTTGAGTATATTGCTGCATCGCCCTTCTATTAAGAATTCAAGGTCCCTACCTATTTTATAAAAATCAAGATGTTTAGCCCTTCCTTTCTGTTCCCACATTTGGGTGGCAGAACTAGCCACTGTAAAATAAATGCTACTACCTTCAGATGCTTATGCATTCCAGGACATATTCTACTGCCATAACACTAGGACACACTTGTTCTCAAACTCAGAGCAATCTCACATTAGTAGCTTTTCAAGTGGTTTGGCTGGTACCTATACAGGGAAAAAAGGACATGTGCTTTGCATTTGTAATTAAAGTCTGGCAGAGGTAATAATCTATGCTAGACATCCAAGACAGCAGCAAGTATAGATGAAAAGTCAAAAGCTACATCATACTTTAAAGTGTGCCCAAGCTCACCGAGAGCTGCATGCCTTCAGCAGAAGGTAGTCAGCACCCTGCCAGTTCCTACAAGTGAACAACACTACTAACACTCCTGACTCATTTCAGTGCAATGGGCATAGACCACCTACAGACACTCCCACTGGCACCTCCAGCACACGGTTACTCGAGATATCAGAGCCATGCCCAGCTTGCACCATCTGCTTTTTCAATCTGCCTCAAAAGTAAAACAAGATCGTCAAATAGCATTATTAAAAATTTAAGCATTAGCAGTCCTTAGTAACAGGCTCTTACTTCTTCATACTTCTTCACACCAATACACTGGTTCTACAGCCAAGTGTTCCCTCCCAGCCCTTCACCTAAGCAAAAAACTTAATAAATCTGCTCTGAGTATCTGCTGACTTATGACCCATCCAGCAAGAAGACCAAGTCTTATTATCTTCTCAACAAAGGTCCTGAGAGCAGGGAGAGCTATTATGCTTCCAGTATTCATGGTAAGGTTGAAGAAAGGTCCATGAATTTTTATATCGGTAGCATCTTGAGGCATTCTAAAGATGTCAAGGATCACCTGACCATCAGCTCAGTAGATGCAACACCTGCACAGTATTTAAAATCCCAAAAGATGATGAATTTAGAAGATGCTAGAACCAAGCTATACAGCAGCTCTGTTATCACTCTGCAAGGAATGCAGATAACCTGCAACATGTTTTGCATACTAATATGGTTCCCATCTTGGCTGCCTTCCTTGATTCATGTATCAAGTGAAAGCAGTTCAAGTAGCATTCTTTCTAGTCACTACCGCTTCCACATCTTAGCTCTTATCGGTCCACATCAAACTATATAGCAGAGATAACATTGCACCGCTCCTCTCATATACACCTGCTGAATAGCATCAGAAATCAACACGACCCAGCACTGCATGCTTAGTGTCACCAAGTCAGGCACTAATGTAAGCAAATCTGAGTAACTTCTCAAACTACTGAGTCATGGCTGCATATCTTCCCCTACAATTGATGTGCATTAGATTTAATCAATAGTGTGGTGGCTTGCTATTCTCTTGGTGCCCCAGTCTTTATGCAGGAAGGAGCTGGGGAGAGTATGAGGTCATTAATTTGTTTTTTCTGCCTTACCTCTCCTCTATATTGCAGCCAGTACTTGGGGGATAGAGTGTAGAAGTACCACACTTATCACCAGAGCAATTTCACGCTTTAAAAATCTATTCATTCTTTTTCAGACAGAAAAGTAGCTGAATAGAAAAGCACTGAGATATAATTTCGTTTAATTTAACATCATCAATTTAATGTTTAATTTAATGCCAGTTTATTTCATACCAATTTTCACAAGTCTGTGGAAGCACACAGCATTCACTATCCAAAACCAGCCACCAGAACCTCTCAGTACTCCAAGGAAAGGTAAAAGCTGCATGCTGAGCCCTCCTGAAAGCAACAGAGGATTCACATAAGTAAGAATTCCAAATGCCCTGAGATAGAAGCCCTTCCCTCACGACAAACCAGAAAAATCCAACCTGGAAGCAAAGTCTTTAAGAAATTAGGTGCATCCTCCACTCCTGTAACTCCTTAGTATCTTTGCCGTCAGAAGCTAGGAGATGAGATGTGGTGGGTCTGCTTTTCCTCAAGGAATGCTGCAACTAAACTAGGCAACTAAACTAGGCAATCACAAAGGTTGCCTAATGAAGCAGCAAACTCTGAAGAACAGTGTTGTGACACCACCCTCCCTTAGAAATTACTCTCAATTCAGTACAGAGTAAGTGATTTTTTTTTTCAAAACAATTAACATTTACAAGACTAAAAGACACAAGCAACAGAACAAGAACTCTTCTCAAGCTACTTATCAAAATAAAATCGAAGAGGCCTTTTGTGGTTTCTGCTTGTCCAGCTGCAGAAGACTGCAACCCGGCTTTCTGCAACTGTCCTTGTGCACTTACTACACCCTCTGGTTGTGTCTATTGCAAGCACCCCTTTTGCCTGAAGAAGTCTGCTGAACCCCCACATCCCCTGAACACATACTGTTTCTGGACTTCACAGGAAGGCAATTTTAGTTCTCCACCCTCCAAAAGAACATGATTCCCCTTCACTGCACGTGCACAGATGGCCCCTGTGCCTGACAAGCTTTTTGTACGTTTGGTTAATAACCAATGAAAGCTTAAAATACTTTTTCTCACACTTAAATCACCACGGTAGGAAGTATGAAGACTTCCTACCTAAACAAATATAAAAGCATTTAATATAAATCCAAAAAACAACAGCCTCTATATAGATAAAGGGTACTAATGCAGGTGGCTTATTTCTGAAGTCTGCTCAAAGCCAGACTTGATATCCGCCACTTCAGGAAGATATGACTCCGGAAATTTTGGAAACACAAATAGGATTTTGTCGGGTTTGGGTTTTTTGTGTGGCTTTGGCCTTTTTTAAAAAAAAAAAAAAAAATTGTTTGTTTTTCAGAAGATTATATTTCACTGATGGGTTTACATAAACTTAGAACTGCTTCAACTACCTTTAGGTAGTTTTCAGCAGTAGCAGTCACCAACAAACATGTGGCTAACTTGCTAGAATGTGACTCATGTTCCTACAATTATCAGGCCATTTACAGTCACAAAACTTTTTGATTAATGAAATAAACTGTTTGAAAAGCCTTAAAGCTTTGTGTACATAAATACACATGTATTTTACAGTGTAAGAACTATAGATTTTCCTCTGAATGCATAAATATATGTATTTTAAACAAGCGTTAGTAAGTGCAAAACGCATTTTCTGTCCTTATATATTCATACAAATCACAATATTTATGTATTATATGAAACTACTACAAATTCTACAGAAGTTATCATACACAGGGAGCAGTACTGCTTCTCTTAGTATCACAAAAACCAACAAAGGCACAAAAACTTGTATTGATATGTAATTGCTTATATACCACATCCTGAAAATACAGCTAAACCACTGACAGTGGACTGAAGTCTCAGCAATAATGCTCACATACATGCATTGGCAGAACTTTCTGCCTTGGGAAGACACACTCCAACAGTCACGTCTTGCACAGCAGACATTAGCAATCTCGTATTTCCTTCCACTACCATTCTGTACTACTCTGCAATACTCCAAAACCAGCAATTAACAAAAACACACTAGCTTTAGGGAAGGAGGAAAAAAAACCAAAACCCCTCCTATTTCTGTTGAAAACTACTAAAGGAAGCACAGAGCCCAGACAGTCCAAGCCCCTCTTCCCTCTTGGATTTTAGATGCCCCATTTAAAAACCCAACCTAAAATCCTCCAAGGAACATTCCTCACAACCTGCCAGGCATACTTATAGTTTATGCAACTTACCAATTTGTGCGTTTTTCAGAACTTAAAATAATGCCTTACCCAATAATCATAAGGCAGCAATAAAACTGTAAGTGCTGCACCTACAACAAACCCCTCCGAGGCAGGGAGCCGGGATGTTGCCAGACCCCAGGCCCAGTGCGCCCTCTGCCTCTCAGCCAGCACCGCGCCGACCACCATGTTACCGCCAATTAAGGGCCGGCAGGGAGGGGATCCCTACTTCCAGCAGACCTATGAGAAACCCAAGCACGTTTTTGAAACTAAAGGCGAGAGCACGCTGAAGCACAGGGAAGACGGCACCAAGCAGCTCCGACCCCAGGGAGGGTCGGTGTCGCTGAGAAGAAACGCCTCAATTGTTGAACAGGCAGGGTCGAGGAAGACCCGCCTCGCCGCGCCACCGCCTCGTTTCCTGGGGAGTCGGGGATGCCGCAGGGCAGGGAGAACCTTAGCTCGGCCGCAGGTCCCAGGTGGTGCCCCTGGCCCCCTTGGCTCCATTCCGCCCCGATTCTGAGAGCGGACAGGGTGGCTGCAGCATGGCAACCACCCAGCCCAGCCCAACCCGCGAAACGAGGGGCATTTACCTGCTGGGCTCCCGCCCAAGAGACTGAGGTAGAGGCAAAGCAGCAGCAGCCTTCCCAGGCACTTCCCTGCGAAGGCGGCAAGCATAGTGCCACAGCCGCCGAGATCTGCCGCTCCCGGCGAAGCACAGGCAGTTGGCTCGGCAGCGGTCACTGGGCAAGCCTCGAGCGCGCAGGGGCGGCTCTGAGGGAGAGCCGGCTGCGGCACGGATCAGAACCAAAACAAAGCAGCCCAGGGGAGTGCAGGCAATGACTACGAGAAAAAGGCTGCGGAGGCACCAGAGGCACCAGCGCTGCGCCTCACAGGGAGAGCATGTTCCCGCCGTACTTTCTGCGGCGGGAGGAAGGGCGGGTGTGAGCACCGGTGGCTAATTGGCGGGTGCCCCGCAGCTGACCCTGCTCGAAGCTTCGCTGGGGCTGCTGGGGCTGACAAGAGCGCGGGTGGGGGTGGGTCCAGTCTTGCCTGTGGCGGGAAGCAGGTGTTGCTGTAGAACCCACCTCGGCTGGAGCAGCCCTCCTGACGGCAGCTGGCTCTGGTAGGGTCTGCCTTGGGGAGTCTGCCTGGCACAGCCGGCCTCGTGCTTTAGCAGGTGCCCTTACGGAGAGCCCAGCTTATAAGGTCAGTTGCAGTGGGTTGTACTGTGTGAGAGCTGTGGCTTTTCACAGGCCTTTCTCTGAATCGCCGGGTTTGGGCAGCAGTGCCCAGGGAGAACCGTTTCTAACAAACGTGCCTCAGGATTTGGATTATAGAATCAACTAGGTTGGAAAAGACCCTTAAGATCAAATCCAAAAGGCTTGGCGCCTTCAAACTAGCAGTTTAATTGCTCAGACTGTTTGAATCTATATATAAGTGCATGTATGGTAAAACTTGTCTTACATATAAGTATGTATGCATTCGTTACTTGAGAAATAACTAAGTTTTGCAGCTGTCAGGGTGGCATTCTCTGAAGGAGAATCTCGATGGGGTGCTTGCTACCTATTCCTATCAAGGTACGATAGCTTTGGCTAATGCAGAAGTTGAACGCTGTATGAGGTCTCTATTGATGCTAAAAGGTCACTGCAACTAAGCTGATACTTCACCTTAGCTCTCCTATGCTGGCAGAGCTGTAGAAGTTTATGCAGAGCAGAAATCAAATGCCCGGTGTGTTGAGTTTCTAGCACTGCCCATGTTTGACATGCTGCCGTCCATGTCCTCCAATACCAGTACAGTGTCCTTCAGATTAAAGTTTTCCATCATAAAACTTCCCCATAAATAAAATTAATGGCAAAAGACTGGGAACAGGATTGTTTTGTTAAGCCCCTGCTGCCTGTCACAGGAAGCCTCAGGTTTCCTGCTGGCTAAATGGGACCACGTATAGATGGGAGTCTTTTCTGTTAGAAGAATTAATGCCCTTCATGTTTGTGGAGCCTTATGTACTCCAGCTCTAAAGCTGTTCAGCTCACGTACAAAGTGTGAGAGGTCATGCATCTGAGTAGTCAATGCACATTGATGCCTATACAGCTGTAAATCCACTGCTTTTGAAATACAGCTCCAACACCAAGTTCTGTGGTGTGACAGACAGCAACAGTGTGCTCTAGGGAGGGATTGAACCCCCAGTTTTGTTAATCTGCCAGCCTGCTACCACTGCACAGAGCAATGAGATCGAAGAGAGAATCCAATTCAGATAAGGCTATTTAGGAATGGTAGAACATGTCAGCTTTTAACAAGAAAAAAGATGGAGCTTGAAAGCTGTTTTATCTGAACCAGTTAGGCATGAATAGCCTCATCTCCTCGGGGGAGAAAGGAGAGAAAAGGCTGTGTTGACTTCTTTTAGATATGAAGGGGTTGGTTTGTAGTTAGCTCTCCCTGGACGGCGTGAAAAGAAAACCTTATGTTCACCTGACTGGTAAGACAGATTTTATCCACATATGAACCATGTGGATGGGTTCACAGTGTTGAGTTAGTCTGTGTGGAAATCTGTGTGGCTAAACTCCCAAGCTGGCCAGAGTGGATATGTGAAGACAGCGTCATCTAGCACTAGCTGTAATTTCATCAGTCCTTGCTTAGTGAAAATTGTAGAGGTTATGATGGAGGTGATTCATTTTGAGTTACTTGACATTATGTCCTGTTTTATAGAACTGTCTTCTGTCTTTCCCACCAAGTCATCTCGGGCAGAGAGCAACAAAGCAGTCTGGAGACATGATGACCTTTTCAGGATTCCTTCTCAACTTCTTCAGGGCTTGTCCTCTGCTGAAAGTACATCCAACATGTACCTAATTCTGGGGAGGGAAGAAAACAACTGATTACTAAACTCTTTCTGAGAGTGGTGTATTTTCCTATACTCATTATATGAAATGCACCAACCACAAAGCAGTCAAAGGGAGAAAGGCAAAGAGGAAGCAGAATTTGGAGGAACCAATCGAGCAAAGAACTAAACAGTTATTTAAAGGTTTCAGTGCTCCAGAGTTTGCAGTACCATAATAAAAAGGTAGTACATAATAATAAGCTAGTAATAATTACTATTATTACATAATAATAATCCAGTGCTGCTGCTGGATTTGGTAGATCATTAAAAGTGTAGGAGTGAGAGATTTCAGAAATTACAAGGTTAGTGTTAACAAATTATGAGAAAGTAAAATATTGGGGATCTTAAAAAAATCAGCCATTTTATTTCTTTGCATTTGGAAACACTGGTGAGGAGTTTCACGAAATGTATCCCTACTTAGATTTTACATACTAAGACTATCCTGCTCCATCTGTTAACATACAGCATATTTTCCTTTTCTGTCTTAAGTCTTTTCTCTCACTTCCAGAGAGAAACTTTGACTTGTTATCACATGGTAATTAATTGGCAAATGTGACAGTCATCTTGGAACAAGGATATTCAACACTCATTTGTTGAACCATACTCTGGTTTACAAGAAAACTTTTAAATGAAACTCTAAAAATTGCTGTGACATGCTGATTATTGGCTGAAGAAAGATGTGGATAACAATTTGTACTTTCACAGCTACCATGTCTATGTTCTCAAAGCCCAGTCTTTGGCATTCCTTTATTTCTGTTAAAAACTAACCGAGTAAAATAACGAAAGGACATACTTGATCCAGCAGTTTCCTTGGCTGGAGGTTTGCTTTTTCATCAGATCCACTCAAACTGTTTAAAGGTAACTAACTCACCTGTGAGAAGAACCTGGAAAAGGAAGAAACAGTCAGAAGAGACTGAAAACCTCTTTAAATGGCAGTTCAGATATGCTTCAAGGATGGTGCTTAGCAGTTTTCAGTATTTGAAGCCGAGTCATCAAGACCTTACTAGTCTAGGTTTTTCTAACATTCCAACAGTAACAAGTAGGTATTTGTTTATGGGTGTGAATTTTTTTGAGTGGAAAAGTATCAAAATAAACAGTGGGAAATAGGAGAATCAGTTTAGATTTACGTCAGAAATTAGCCTTGTAAGCATGGCCAGGAGATAATTTTGCAAGGCTAGATAGTGGCCAATCTGTATGGGCCACTATCAAAAAATGTGTGTTATGCAACATCTCCACAAGTCCCCCATTCTATGGTAACAGTCAGGTTATAATCAAAAAAAAACAATGCAGAATGCATGTTTCTGAAGGCCAAAGCAATATACTGAATGCTAGAACAAGACTAGAACCAAAATTGTATTGTCTTTCCCAAACACTTAAGCTTTTGCTTGCCCTCTTTGAAGGATTTTAAACTGACCTCTTGACTGGATTTAAAATTACTGGCCAGATTATGCAATCTGCGTACTCTGCAATTGCCTGCTCTGCAATGTCTGCATTCTGCTGAGCAGTTGTAAATCCCAGTACCTCCTGTAACCTCCTCAAAGGCAATTTCAAAGATTAAGTATATAATCTCTATTGAGAATCCTGCCATTTATCAAATGCTTAGTGTCGTGTTCTAAGATTGGAGCTGTAGATGAAACAGAAGTTTGGGCTGTAGTGCTTTAGAAACATATTTCTTAAAAATCTTAGGTTGCTACCGGTACCAATTTTTGAGATTGGCAATACTGATCATACGAGATACACTATCAATTGTTATTGTGCAGGATTTGCTTTTGTGCAGGGTTGCAGATGATGCAGTAGGACTTTGCTCAGAAAAGGCTTTATTCACGTGGCAAAGCCACCATCATTGGGAACTGGCAACCAGAAAGTCAGCCAAAGTAAGATTACTGGCAACCAGAAAGCCAAGTAAGATTTCTGGCAAACAGTTCTTTTGTCTCTTCTGCTTGCACACACACAAGCACACACACAAGCACACACACAAACACACACACATAGCCTGAACAAAATTGACATTTTTAATGGAAATAATGGAAAGGGGGAAAAAAAGTATTTTGTTTAAAATGCAGTTGAAATCTTATATACTGACACCTGCAAGATTACCTACAATCTGTTATCTTAATGTAGAAATTATAACAATGTATGCCACCCTATTACAGGGGTTTTTTTGCAAGCTGTTGCTTCACAGTGTGCAGAAAACATTTTAAATATCTCAAGCAAGACCACACTTTCAGGGAGGGTGCTATCTTTCATTACAATAATGTACCTGGAAAAAGTAAGACAGCTTCTGAGCTGGACACAATTTAAGAGCAATTACTCTGTATAATTGTAATTATGCTGAGGGTACAGGGTCTCAACTACTGCTTTAATATCAGAAAGAATAAATTATCCATTTCCCAACCTTTAAGGTCTTTAAAATGGTTTCTCTTTTGTGGTAAAGATAAAAAATCATAAGAGGCCTTGTATACAATAACCTATCCTGGAGAGTCTCCTCCATTCTGCCACTTGCTCAATTATTAGCAGCGCTAAGTGGGTGCACTAAGTCATCCGGTGAAACAGGCCTTGTTTACACCACTGAAATTTGTCTATGAGGGTTCCTCCTCTGGGGGAAGTAATGCACATGTTGCACAAGGCAATGCTTTTCTGCGTTTTTTTTTGTTTTGTTTTGTTTTGTTTTTTGTTTTTTTTTGTTTTTTTTTTTTTGTGGGTGTGATGACAGAGTGTAGACTTTGTCTCATTCTGCTGACCTATTTTATGGTTTTCCTGGGCTATGGGTCGTTTGGTTTGTGGGATTTTTTTTCCAGGTAGTTGACACTAACCTAGTTCCTCTGAATTTATGTGGGTTTTTTTTTAAGTTTGAAATATGTTTGTAATGCTGAAGATAAGACCTGAAGATAAGACACCATAAAAAAGTAACAAGGGAAGTGGCCTAAGCCTTAGTGATAATATT